TGGGGTCGTGTAACCAGTGGTGTTCCCCAGGGGTCGGTACTAGGCCGACTCTTGTTCATAATCTACATAAACGATCTAGATACTGGGATGAGCAGTGACATAAGCAAGTTTGCCGATGACACCAAAATAGGGCGGCAGATTAATTCAGGGCAGGATGAAAATACATTACAGGAGGATCTAAATAAACTGCAGGGGTGGTCTGAAAAATCTCAAATGAAATTCAACACCAGCAAGTGCAGCGTACTTAATATTGGAAGAACAAATACTGATAATGTATACAGCCTTAAAAACATCAACCTAGAGAAGTCGACTTGTGAAAGAGACCTAGGGGTACTTGTAAGCCCGGACCTACGGCCTAAAAAACAGTGCGTTAATGTTCGAAATAAGGCAAACAGAGCATTGGGTTTTATATCTAGAAGTGTAAGTAACAAGAGTGCAGAGGTCTTATTGCAACTATATCTTGCGCTAGTCAGGCCGCACCTCGATTATGCGGTTGACTTCTGGTGCCTTTATTATACAATGGATATAAATTCACTAGAGTCTGTGGAGCGAAGAATGACAAAAATGATTCCGGGACTTAGAAACCATCCATATCGGGATAGGTTAAAGAAACTAAACTTGCATTCCCTAGAAAGATAAAGAGTGCGGGGAGATATAATAGAAGTATCCAAGTGGGTGAAAGGAATCAATAAAGGTGATATGGATAAAGTTCTTATAATATCCGAGCAGGATAGGACTCGAAACAACGGATTTAAGTTGGATAAGTTTAGGTTTAGGAGGGAGATAGGAAGGAACTGGTTTACAAATCCGGTGGTGGACGAGTGGAACAAGCTTAGCAACTTTGTAGTAAGTGCTGGAATGCTGGAAAGTTTCAAAAGGAGGCTGGATAGATTCATGGATGATAGAGAGTGGTAGTAACTCTCGGCAGGAGTTGCCATGCATAGGCCAACCGGCCTATTGCAGACTCCTTATTTTCTAATGTTCTATCCACCACTGACAAACTGAGCCGTCCTCCTACTCCCAAAGCCAAACAGTGACCGATATAGCTCCATACTCCACGGAACTACCAACCTAAAACTAATATTAATGAACTCCCAGATTAAGCTGCAAAAATACCTACATACATACAGAATAATATTTTATATATTAAATACCAGCCCTGCTCACACATCATTATACAAAATTATATTTACAAAACTTGGGGGTAACATGCCTATAAAAATATTTCACTATGCACAGCGCAACGCACCAATGTACATTACGCCATGCATAACACCCCCTCCTTAAAATAGATGTAATATAAACCAACATATAAAATAATATAAACCAAGTTCTCGCACAGGTATAACTTCCGGATATATAGTGGAAGCACACATCACCGGTAACAAATATTCATTATCACACTCAGTTTTAGGAAGAGGGTCCACACAATCAATGTTTACTTTTGCAAATGGCTCATCAACAACAGGTATAGGTTTTAAAGGTGCAGGTGAAAATACTTGATTGGGCTTACCAGCTAACTGGCATACATGACATATACGGCAAAAATCGGCTATGCCTGAGGAAACACTAGATTCATAATGTCTCTCTCTCTTTCTGATACGGATCTAGCAAATAATGGAACCAACGACTGGTCAGACTCTTGAGCAGAAATCAACATCTCTCTTGGGACAGGAAGGTTACTGAAATCAACATTCACATGATCCTTAGACTCTGCCTTTACATCACTTGACACATCACTAACAGGTTGATCTACTAGACCTGCATCTAACTTATCTGGCTTTACATCAAACAGTCCATTCAAATCATAATCAGGCAAAACATCACACTGATCACTCACATCTGTCCCATACGTCACCATTTTAGCTTGACTACGGGTTAAAGCACCTGAACGGAATAACCCAACATACTTACTCGAAAGGTCTGCAGCAGGGTTATTACTTAAAGGAGTAGAGCACACAACTGGATCCGGAACAACAAGGCTACCAGCTATATCATTTCCCAAGAGGAACGTTACTCCTTCCACTGGCAGCACCTCCTGAACCCCTACTGTAACTGGCTGAGACAAAAGGTCCGTCCGAAGATACACTTTACACAATGGAACGCAAGTGGTTCCACTAACGCCCCGCAACACAACATGCTCACCAGTATAAGACTCTTCCACAGATGGAAGAGGACTTTTCAAGAGAATACTAAGTGAAGTACCAGTATCCCTCAAAATACTCACAGGGACAACAGTACTACCCTCGGACACGGACACAAAACCAGGAAACTTAAAGGACTGGAACAAATCCTTAGGATGCACACAAACTGGGTCAGAAACCGCAGCAACATCATCTGCTGAGACAAACGCAAAATTAGCAACAGGCGTTTCATGAGACTCCTTAGCTTTGAGCTTATGACATTGGGCAATAGTGTGACCAGGCTTTCTACAATAAGAACACACAGAAGTCATAACCCCGCTAAATGCCTTACCACCATTGACTATCAGAACCTCCGCCAACATTCTCAAAGGAGAGTTTATTACCTATGTTACCAAACGGGTGCTTACCACCTTGAACTGGAGTCACGGCTCGGCCTGGAACATCATTAACTTTATGCCTATGAATAAGACTGAAATAAGGAAGTTCATAAGATAAAATGAACTTTATTTTTATATTAAAAACTTTCTTCTGTTGGTGCTATATTATTCACTGGGTAAACACACACACAAAAAAACCAGCACTAAGGCGGCTATAAAATAATCCTCATCACCTCAGGTTTTTTATTTAGTCCCGCCACTGTTGACTGTTCCCGTGTCAGGACGTCTCGACGCCACAATCTGGAGGGACACAGGTATATACATAAATGATATTTGCACTAATTACGAGAATATTTAATATAAACAATATAAATGCATCTCAAGTTTCAGGTTTAGAAAATTTGATAATCTCAGTTAATAGAATAAAATGGCTTATAGATAAATTAGATACATAAGTATTATACTAAGGCGTCGTCGGTAACACCAATAGCGTACACAGGAAACTCAACTGGACCATTAAATTCTAAAATCAATTTAACAAAATACTTTCGAAGGGCATGGCAGGTAGTTTAATATCAAATATCATTTCAAGTTATTCATAAGTATTTTGGTACAGAGGAGTGGGGTAATGCCAAGCCAACAGCTTCAGTAAGGTAACACCAGCCTCTCCACTCTACATACGGCGACACTTGTAGCCACATTTGAGGCCCTCACTTTCACAATGGCTACAGAATTGCATGACTGATGGAAAAAGACACAAATGAATAAACTAATTCAAAGAAAAATCTTGTCAAGCAAAGAAATTACAACGGGTAGAAAACGAGACTTCTTGAATACTATTATCATTGTCGAACTTTAGAATGGCGGTGTTTATCAGTGAATACTCCAAGTAAACAATTTATTCTGTTTATCTTACTTAATAACTGGAGCTTCACTGACGGGCCAGGTGATATTCATGCAGTCATCCATCACCTGAGGGAGGTAGGTATACAAGCTCTCTCATACAGTGTACACCTCTTCATCCAGTCAACATCTGATCTTGATCCGTCTAACATCAGCATGGTAAAACTTATAATGGCTTAAGTAACTTGCCATCGTCGTCTTAAAGTGTCTTCTTTACTTAATTATGATGCTACTAATACTACTACTACTACTACTACTTTGTTTTTTTTTTTTTATTGGCCTCCAGCCTCCCCCAATAGCCACACCTTCGCCACCATTTATTTACCTTAATATTAAATATCCTATACATAAGAAGCTATCCTATCTGTGTTAAATTAGTTGAGCCGCAGATCTATGCGCAGATCTATACTACTACTACTACTACCTCCCCCAATAGCCACACCTTCGCCGCCATTTTATTACCTTAATATTAATATCCTAATACATGTTGAATTAGTTGAGCCGCAGATCTATGTTGCATTCAGTGACTGTAGCCTCATAGTCAATATCTCCAGATGTTGTCGGCATTGGCGCCGAAGCTCTCGTTCCCCTGAGGCAGATCAAAGCCGACCTAAGGAGAGAGAAGGACAGTCGACATCTCATCCAGGCTGTAACATAACTTCTGGGCTGCTGCTTCTTTTCGGAGATCACCTCCGCGAGTCTGGCGTAGAAACATCTTGCAATACTACTACTACTACTACTAATAATAATAATAGTAATAATACTAATAATAATATTAATAGTAATAATAATAATAATAATGGCATAGTTACACTTAAGGTTGAGATACAATTGTAAGAGTTGAGATTTCTTTGTCATAACAGTAAGAAATAATATTTAGAGTCAATACTGTAAAGTATATTTTGTTTCTAAGAATAATCAGCTTCACCACTTAAAAAGAAAACGTAATTTTTTCTGCCTTCATCACAAGTAAACCATTCCTTGCCTCTCTTCTCTTTAGTAGTTTTCTATAATCCAGGGGCGGATCAAAGGGGGATCCTCGAGTCCAGACCCCCTTTTCATCCGAAAATTCCAATACATTTTCTTTAATGCAGTATTGTACTCAGGCGTTTTTGTATAGTAAAAAGTTATTACTATAGCCCACAGCATATCTCCTAATATCAAATGTACAAGGCCTCAAAATGCCCATGATATTGATCAGATTTCAATCAAATTTCTCGGGAGGCTTACAACACCCTCCCCCCCGAAAAAGCAAAAAAAAAAAAAAATACTGGGTGGGCTCGCTCTGCTCGCCATGTTCTCCCACACCTCAACTTCTAGGACTCCCCATTTTAATATTTCCTGATCCGTCCCTGTAATCAACTGATGCAACAAGTACTAATGTATGCTTGAAATTTTGTTCCCATTTTTATCATAATCATTCGAGTCAATGAGTTTGCGTAGTGTAATTTTTTTTTAACTCATTGGTAATTTATATTAAGATGGGAATGCTTCTAATGATGAAATAATTTGACTATTTCAGAGGTCGGTAATAGTTTCCTTGGCTGAGGGTCTCGTGATCGTGACCTGCCTCGCCATGCCAGATGACAGTGGCGGCCACGGTGGTGGTGGTGGCGGCTATGATATCTCCGGTGGCGGAGGTGTCTATAGTGGCTCCATTGGAGGACGTGGTTATGGTGGCTCCAGTGGCGGAGGCGGTTATGGTGGCTCCAGTGGCGGAGGCGGCTATGGTAGCTCTAGTGGCGGAAGTGGCTATTCTGGCTCCAGTGACGGAGGCGGCTATGGTGGCTATGATAGCTCCGGTGGCGACGGCGGTCATGGTGCCTCCAGTGGCGGAGGCGGCTATGGTAGCTCCAGTGGCGGAGGCGTCTATGGTGGTTCCAGTGGTGGAGGTGGCTATGGTGGCTATGATAGCTCCGGTGGCGACGGCGGTCATGGTGCCTCCAGTGGCGGAGGCGGCTACGGTAGCTCCGATGGAGGTTATGGAAAATATATGTAATCATAACGAAATGAGACACACCAATACTAAGTTTCCTAAACTCTTCTTTGCCAGTTTGTGTCTCGTGATTCTTGTGTAGTAATAATAAAACTTAAACGACTGTGAAAATAACTTTGATTTACGCCAACTTCCTATTCTTGACATCAATTACCAAGTGTAGTGTAAGAACAATTAATGGAGCACTTGAAGAATTAATTTTATTAACTATACACGATGTTAAACTAATCTGCGTTTGACATTTTATCTTATGATTAAAAAATATAACTTTATATAAAAATTGAGCTTCCTTTTCAGCACGTAAGTTTGAGGAAGAAATAATGTAAATAAAACCTAAAATTCCTATATTCATTTCGTGAATTCTTAAGTTTCATAAAATATTCATGGCGACATATAATACACTAAATGTGTAGAATTAAAAAAAATGCATGTCTTGATACTTAACTGTCATGGTAAACCTATAATATCCGACAAACAGCAATGTGCTAGAACTTGGATGGATCAACCACTGCCAGAATTAACTCCACCGCTCACTCACTCTCCCCAAACACTTCCTCATGACCCACCCCAGTAAAAATAAATCAGGATTTTAGATATTTAATGCCATTTCTATCCAATGATGTCGATTAATTCCTGCAATCTTATATGTCAACCCTCAAACGTGCATGTAGTAAACAAAGTGGTAATATTGTCTCATCTCACCTGTCGTATTTCTGCCACTTCCCACGAACCACCTCGAATTGAATTGAATTGAATTGAATTGAAACAGTTTATTTAGCCAGAAAAACACAGATACAGAGTGGATAATAACAACAATATTAACATGGCTGAGCCAGTTGAGAACCTGAGCTCTCTGTTTTAGGCACCTGATATATACTATACATTTATCTCACGGAAGTATTATGTAAGATTTATTATCATCTGGAATAGTACAATAGCATAGTGGTAATAGGAACATCTAATAATGTTACCACGGTTATCACTTCAATATTAAATAATTTTCTTTATTTATTATTTTTTTTTAGTTTATTTATTTGTTTTTATTTACATATACATATATTACAGTGGAATTGAAAAACATAAGTATAATGGGGGAGCAGGGGTTGTACAGTAATAAGGTTGAACAAGAGGACAGAGCTGCCAGGATTATGTCAGTTTAATTCAATTTCAATTGTTTATTCCTTGATAGAGGAAGCGGGATCCTAGTGCTGTCACTAGGTACCCCTGTACAATAACACCAGAAGCATCTGGCAAGTGTGACAAGTATATGCAGTATAAATATTATATAGGGGCTTACTAAAGCCTAAGGAAGGAAGGATATTCCTTTAACACATAATCAATGTTATTTACATAATATCTGGCCAGTATGGGGAGAATCATCGTGTCTCCGTCAGGGGGTCGTGGAGTGGTGGTCCAGCAGGCGTCACGGAAGCGTTGTGTGTGGGGACATCTTAGGAGGTAGTGGATAAGGGTGCGGCTGTCGGGTCTTCTGCATAATGCACAAGAGTGTTGCTCAGGGGATGCAGGGATACCAATCTCCCAAGCAAAGTCATACCCAATGATGATACGGGCAGCAATCACGTCCCCTTTCCGCGACCCTTTCCCATAGACATATGAGAGATCAGGAAGCTTACGGAGGACATCGTACTAGGTTGGCGGGGAGTCCAGGGGGATGGCTGCTTCTCGAGCTTCTCTGTGTTTGCGTCGATTTTGGGTCCTAACCTGTAAAAGTGTTCGAGGAACAACGTAGTCACATGTGGCCTTGTTGCAGCCAGTCTTGGCAAGGCCATCTGCTGCCTCATTCCCCAAGATACCGACATGATTGGGTATCCATAGGAATGTCACAGGACGGCCTGCATCCTGAAGTGTGGATGTTAACCCTCGTATTCGGAGGATGAGGTCCTTTTTTTCTCCTGATCCAAATGCAATCCCATCGAGAGCAAATCTGGAATCGCAGCAGACAAGCAAGGGGCGGAAAACATCTGCTTCTTCCTCAGCGAGAAGGGCAGCAAGGAGGGCTATTAGATCAGCCTGAGTGGAGGATGCCCCGTCAGAAACTCTGAGAGACAGTTTGATAGGTTAAGGGGCATCAGGACGGGAGATGTAGACACCAGCCCCGGCCCGACCAGTAGCGGGTTCAACAGAACCATCAGTGTAGAGGACGACCCTACCTGGGGACCAGTGGGCGATCCTGGAGAGGTGGTATTTGCAGAGAATAACAGGGTTCACGTGGGATTTCGGGAGCGGTCCACCGAGGGCAATCACTTCAGGTTGAAAATCCAGCCAGGGAGAAGGAGACGAACCAACAGCAGGGGTGAAACAATATCAGGCAGGAGGTCGTGTTCCTGAAGGGCTCGGATGAGTGACCCTCGCCACTGTCTTCTAAATGGAGGTCGGCCTCGGACAGCAGGAGTCAAGTTGGCTTGGACATAGTTGCCCCGAGGATCCCGTAGAAAGGAAACGGCAGTTTGTAGGTAAAACTCCTGGACACGATCCTGTAAGGGGGAAAGAACAAGTTCGGTATATAGAGAAGTAGAGCGTGTCCACTGAGGAGCCCCAAGGATGATACGAGCAGCTTTTCTCTGGATAACTTCGAGACGGTTGACAGCAGTCCGACTAATGTTGACGAGGGCGGGGGCGGCGTAGTCGACACAGGAACGGACAAAGGACTTGTACATGGTAAGAAGTACAGGGATGGTGGCACCAAGGGAACCCCTGCACATGGTAGAGAGGGGAGCGAGACGCCGAAAGCATATGTCTCGAAGATAGCGGACTTCAGGGATCTGACAACGTGTGCGAGTTACATACACACCCAGGTATTTTGTCTCATTAACCCAGTCCAAGGGCGTTCCTGATAAGAGAAGGGGTGGAGGTACAACACGACCGTGCCACATGGCTTTTGTTTTCGCAGTTGAAAGAAGGAAACCAAGTGAATCACACTCTCTGGAAACCAGATCAAGGGCTTCCTGCATGCTGAGGTGGTCAGGGGCTTGGAGGAGGACATCGTCGGCATATCCTGAGTGGACAACTTCTGTCGGCCACGGGAGAGATGCAATGGAGTGCATGAGAGTGTTAAACATTGTGGGACTCAGGACTCCACCTTGAGGGGTGCCGAGGTTCATTTCTTGAATAGGAGATAGAGAGCCTTCAACGCGAACCCGGGCCTGACGTCCTGTGAGGTAAGAGGCGATTCATTGAAGAAGTCTCCCTTTAACCCCTAACCGCGCAAGTTCAGCTATAATGAGGCCAGGCTGAAACGTATCAAAGGCTCCCTTGATATCACGGAAGACGGAGACGCGGGCAGTCTAATTGCAATAAAAGGAAGCAATGGAGTGTGCTGTGCTGCGATGTTGTATGAAACCATATAGGGAGTTGTGGAAGCCGCCTATGGTGTGAAGAAGGCGATGATGGAGTATCCTCTCCATCATCTTGCAAACACAGGAGGTAAGACTAATGGGTCGATATTTCCCAGGATCTCCCGGCTTAGGGATGGGGATAATAGTGGCATTTTTCCAGTTACACGGGAGAACCCCATGTTCATAAGGCATATTGTAGAGAGAAAGCATGGGGCCGTTAGGAATACTAGTACAGGCGTTGAGGACGGAGTAGGTTATCTAATCATCCCCAGGAGAGGTGTCTTTTCTAGAGCGACGAGCACTGTCAAGCTCGAACTGTGTAATAGAATGATCAGTGGGGGGCAGGGGAGGTAAGAGCAGCACGAACAACAGGCTCAGACACATCGATGCGAGCCTGCACTGCCTCCTGCATTGGATCTGGAAGTGCCTCAGGAAGGAAAGCTCGTTCCCAGTCCTCCATTAAGAGCATGCAAGGGAGGCGGGGTCAGGGTGGGGAGGAGGCCTCCGTCGAGTACCCCGTATAGGATTAATCCGATTCCATACATAAGAGGGTGACGACTGGAACGATAGAGACCCCGTGAAGGATAGCCAGTCCGCCTCACGAATCCGACGGCGCTCCTGAGTTGCAAAGGAGCACCAATTTTTGAAGTCTTCCTAGTCCTCTTGAGAGCGAGACCTCCGTATGGCAGAGTGGAGATCACGGGTTACCTGCCGGAGATGTCTCATGGCAGGGATACGATACCAATAGTTGGTGGCACTTTTGTGGTGACGTGAAGGGCGTGGAGGGGTAGCGCGATTGACAGAGTCATACACGGCATCAACAAAATCAGCTCTGTAAGAGTCAAGGGACTGGGGGACAACATAAGAATCCGCCCAGGTAGAAAGTTATTGGGTAAAGGAAGGAACAGCATCTTGTGTGAGACGAAGGCGAGGGGATCGATAAGGAGCTGAAATCGGGACAGAGAAGGAGAGCCTGAGATGGGTAGTAACGGCAAGATGGTCACTATACAGAGCAGGCTCGGTGCAGACGGTAGGATGAAAGGAGGTATGACCGTTCAATAGTAAGCCAACATCAAGGAAACTATGGGGGAGGCGAGTAGGATCGTCAGGACAAAGAAAGCGAACATCATCATCCCCATTAAGAAACTGTGAGAGATGTTATCCGTTAAGGGTACATGGCGTGGCATGATCCTGAGTAAGAGTGGGATGGCGGGCAATAAAGTCGCCAACAACAATAATGGGAACCCCATCATGGAGGTTCGTGAAGAACCTGGGGGTCCAGAGAATCACTCTTGAAATGAACATTGACTACACGAAGGGTCCGGTCACCAAGAGTAAGGGAGACAGAAAGTAATTCAGACGGGGATCCACGTGAGTCAGGTGAAGGGAGACGAACAGATGGAATGGTGTTACGCACAAGGGTGAGGAGGCCATGAGCCTGCCCACGGTACCGAGGCAGGGTGTAAACAGTATAGCCAGAGAGGCGGAGTGGAGTAACATCGTCTGTGATGGTTTCCTGAAGTAGAGCAACATCTACTTGATGAGAGAGCACAAACTGGGCGAGGTCTGTCCGGTGAGGTATAAGTCCCTGGATGTTCCATTGTGAGAAGAGGAGGGAACGGCCTCCGGTGTGAGATGAGTCGGTGG